TCTCTGAGTTCGTGATTTCGACAGCCCTTCCCAGAATTTCAGCTTGAAGCTGGGCTTAGAGGCCAGGCTGCTTTTGCAGTGACTTCGGGAGCCTGCGCCAACGCCCCAAGTTCGAAATAGTAAGAATACTATACTACGACTCACTCTGCCTCTCTAAACCCTAAAAGCCTGCATAGTTGTAGTAAGAGTACTACTATGTTGTAAGCTTTGGGACTTCGCACCCGAGGTTTCCGGTGCTTCACGGATGGCTGCAGCGCGTACGACGGGACCCCACTGTCTGAGCGCCTCCGGGAAGCGTATGGGGGCCCATTCATTGCTCCTTGGTCTAAGGATGGTTCTTATAAGGGCTATCAAAAGGGGTATTACAAGGGATGGTATAAGAACTACTACAAGGGGTGAGTGTAACTGAGAGTTACGAAATGGGCTACTGCAAAGGCTGGCATCGGGGAGAGTATAATCCGAGTTTTGGGGTTTGTGTTTTTTAGGGATGTCAGTCTGACATGGCCAAGAAGGCAGCGGATTCATCGATATGATAATAAACATTTTAGATCCTGGAAAAATACGTGGCCGGAACTCTTTGGCACTTGACCGCGAAGTTTCAAAACCGTGAACGGCCTGTTGGGTCCCTTCTCAGGACACAACTACCATCCAGGCTTTCTTATCAGCCCAGAGTCTCGAACACAAGTGTATGGCAAGTCGACTGAGAGCTAGACCCTGCTATGATGCGAGCTTTAAAACTACCCGCATAGTCTTCCCCATGAAGTATGAAGAAAATCACCATTGAGACGAGATCCCACCGGACCATGCTTCGAGTCAGTTCGCGCCGAAGCCCAGAAACACACTAACGCTGCATCGGCCACCCCCGCTCCGACCAATCTACTGGACGCCGATGTCTCCTTTCTTCAGACATCATGTACAAAGGCACGAAGAATCGGCTTGGCACCACGAAGTTGAAGTCCTTGGTTCTAGTTCACTACACTCTCTGACGGCTGCTGCTGCTGCTCACATTCCAACAGATGTCAGATAGTGTTGCAATTCGACACGAAATGCGTGCAAACATACGTTTGCACATTGGAAAGTAGACAACACAAGCACCGAGCTCAAAGCTGCGCTAGCATCTGCATGCTTCTAAGGTTCTGGAAACAGACATGCCCAGTTTCCACCCACATGTGCACCATCACCCGGATATCAAACAGAAAATCGCACCTCACCTCCCGGGTCTCAGACGTATAGGTACTTGGATAAAAACTACAGACAGAGACAGGTAGATCTACATCTCTATATATAAAGAAAAGGAGGTTGTGGCCTCTCGATCTCTCTCTCTGTCTGTCTCTCTCCAAAGGTAGATATGTATATGTTGCATGTATGTATGTATGTATGTACGTATGTATGTATGTATGTATGCATGCATGTATGTATGTATGTGCATATATGGATAGGAGGGCCTTCTTTTAATTTTTGTTTCGCGCCTGTGCGATGTTTTTTTTGTTTTTTTGTTGGGGGGGTCTCTTCCGGTTTTGTGGTTCCGCGCTGCCTCACTTCAGAGCACGAGCTGTCATTGTCTGCTTCCACGCTTTTGCTTTTCGGCTTCTCGGCCTGCTGCCTTTGTTTGCTTCTCGTTTTGTACTTGTTATTGCTTCTGCTTTTGCTTTTCCGCTTCTCTGCTTGTCCGCTGATCTCTTCAACGCTTTGCTCTCGTGCTTCCGCTTTGCAGTTGTTTGTTCTTGCTTATGCTCTTCCTTTTCTTATTCTTAATCATACTAATTCTACTACCACTTTAGTAATAATACGAGTGGTAGCAACAACTGTTTTAAGAGGAATAAAGCAGCAGCAACAACAACGATATCGTCAGCAACAGCAGTAACAGCAGTAATAACAACAGCAGCAACAGCAACAGCTGTAAGCTCGACAAGTACAAATACAAAATACATACACGTATACATACATACATATACATTTATGTGTATATGTATATGTATATGTATATGTGTATATAGATACAGAGTGTCTATAAAGAGTATAGAGTCAATAGAGTATATAGTGTATATATATTACATATAGTGTATATAAAGTATATACAGTATATGTAGGGTGTGTATAGTGTGTATATAGTGTGTATTATATATATGTAGTATATTTTATATAGATGTATACATAGATATAGATTTAGATACAGTATATACAGTATATAAAGTGTATGTAGTATATACCGTATATGTAGTCTATATAGTATAGATAGTATATAAGTGTATGTAGTATATATAGTATACGTATATATATATATATTATATATTACATATTATATATTATATATATAATATATATATATAATATATATATATATATATATAGAGAGAGTATAAATAGTAGAAAGTATAGTATGTGGTATGTATACAGTATATACAGTATGTATAGTATATGCATATAGTATATACAGTACATATATGTATATATATATATACATCTACAATTTATGGTTGTCGAAGGAAAGCGTCAGCGCGGCCACAACGGACCAGGCATTATTCGGTTCTGGTCCATGAAGGAGGGCTTTTTTTTGTCGCATTTTTTTTTTTGCATCTGTTGCTTTTTTCGCCTGCTTGGTATTAACAGTAGCATGCATGGTAATATCAAAATTTTTATATAGTATGAAAGTATGAATATAACCTGTTATTAATTGTGAAAAACAAATATATATATATATATATACATACATACATACATACATACATACATACATACACACACACACATTCTTACATATAAATACTAATAATGATATGAATAGTAATATCAATATTGGTATTAATACTACTATTCGATTCAATTTCATCTTGTTAGATCAAAAATAGTACGTTAGTATATTAATATTGGTATTAATAATATCATTAACATTAATAATACAATTACTAGTGTTTCTTATAGACTTCCCCCTTACACTGCTCCAGAGGACAAAATGCTTACCCCCAAGCACTGGCGACTGCATGGTGGTGGATCCAGGACCGTGCTAAAATGTTTTACCCCGACTAGTGGTGGATTTGCTGGCCCAAAAAACCAAAGACGGATGGTATTTAGAAGTACACCCAAAACTTATTCTATTTCCCCGTGTACGATTGCGTGCAGAGTTGGCCATGCATTGTAGTTTACAATGATCTCGGAATTCCCCCGGCACCAAGAAAAAAACAAATTCCCACAGACGCCAGAAAGAATTCCTGCAGAAATTCGCGCCCATATGGATATATATATATATATATCATAAATGTTATATATGCATATATATATATGTACAGATTGCATTTATTCATACACATACATACAGACATATCGCAAGTCCTTCTTTCGACAATCGCTGCGATACAGGGCCTTCTTGTGCCATGTTTTCCAGCGGTGTAGCAAAGCATTGGGCAGGGACATCCTGAGTCATTTACTTTGAGCCGTGAACTTTAAGCTCTAGGGCGGTCTTTCGAGTGAGTGGTGCCCTAGACCTGGTCATGCCAGGTCGGCTACATCTTCGTCACCATGTTGGTGACGGTGGGCGTGTTCAACTTGATAATGGCCGTTTTTATCGAGAAACTGGTGCTGCATCGGTGGATTGCTAAGGACTGTAATGCTCGTCGTGATAGTCATAGGTCACAGTAGCACAATCAGCGGCATCGAAACAGTTGAGAGATACTGCTACAGCTACGACTGCTCCTCCTCCTCCTCCTACTCCTCCTACTCCTCCTACTCCTCCTACTCCTCCTACTTCTCCTACTCCTACTGCTACTACGACGACGACTACAACGAGGACGGCGACGACGACGATTGCTGCTGATACTGCTGCTGCTGCTGCTACTGCTACTGCTACAGCTCCTACTACTTTTACGACTATATTAACGACGAAAGCCACTAAGAGGCCGACAACGAGATAACAACAGTACGACGACGACTAAACCAAGGACAGCAACAAAACATGTAATCACAGGCATAGTGACAATCGGAAGGGTACGGACGTGATCTGTTGGCCGTGATGATGATGATAATGATGATAGAGTGGTCCTGACGACGCCGATGTTAGTCATGTTTGCGAAAGCAAAGTTCTAACCACGATAATGACACCGAGCGTGATAATTTTGTTAATGGCTTTGAGGATTTCGGCTTTAGGACACGAGCGGTTTTGTTCAGGCTTTAGGGGTTTATGCTTCGGTCAGGGATCCAGCTTAGTAGTGCAGCCACCAGCTTGTGTACCTGCCGCAGCAGTAAAAGCCAATGCGTCAGGGAATCCGAATTGGGTAATTTGCGATTCGCAGCCAAGTTTAGGCATCACTGCGTCTAACCTGTGCCATAGCACTCCGCGTGAAAGCAGTTACTGAATTGCTAGCTTTGCTGTAAAGAAGCCGTGCGGTCAAGTCTGCACGTGCATCGCTTGCGTTGTTGTTAGGCATTTGTTGCGAAAATTTATCAAAGGGTGTTGCAACCCATGTCATGGCCTGTTAGATGTCAAAACGAACTGATGCTTCGCGCCTTTTGTACAGTATCTGAGAACATTCGATAGGTGTTTAGCTGACAGTTGGGGCTATGGCAGAGGTAGTTTTTGAGGTGTGCACGGCATGCAGGAGTCTTCTTCTCATCTGCTTGGGGAAAGCCTACAGAAAACTCAGGAACGTGATGAGTTCCCAGTTCGCTCACAAGCAGACTGAAATCGCAGACACTGCTTTGGGAATGGAAACAAAGATCAAGGACGGCCAGTGTGGCAAGCAGACCACAGTCTTGATGGCAGTGATGGCAGCATCAACACAACGACCATGCGTGCTTCTAGGGGTTAGCAGTTGCGATCGCGAGCACAGACATTGCTGCCGTGCAGGACAGAATCATTCGCAAGTTGGGCTTGAAGAGGAGCAGTTTCCGATTATCGCCTGACCTCAAGACAAGATCGGAAGGTCTGGACGAAGTCTTGCAAGCCGCTTCGCTCATGTAGCTGCAGCTGTTTTTGCACAGCTTAGGCTGTACTGTGTGGTAGGGATCGGATGACTTGCTCGGACAACTTTTTTGGATGCTCTTTGCAGAAGCTGATGCGCTATCAAACATCCCCGCACCTTCTTAGTTGTGCCAAGTTCACCGATTCTGGGAAAGGTCGGTGGTCGGAACATCTCAAGGGACGAGTTCGACATGTGGCTTCGTGATCCAGATTTCGTGCGCGTGCTGGATGAGGCCCCTACAAGCACTAGCAAGCACAATAGTAAGCATAGTAACAATAATCATTGCAACAGTAACAGTATCATCTACATCCATAGGAAAAGTAAGAGCTGTTGAAATTGAAATCAGTAGTAGTAGTAGTAGTAGCAGTAGTAGTAGTAGTAGTAGTAGTAGCAGCAGCAGCAGCAGCAGCAGCAGGAGAGTAGTAGTAGTAGTAGTAGTAGTAGTAGTAGTAGTAGTTGACAATTTTCGTAAGAAACCACCAGTAATGATATCCGACACAATAGCAGTCTCACATAAGTAGTAATGAAAGCAATAATAGTAGTAATGACGGTAGTCGTAATAACAGTAACAATACTACCGAGATTAGCATTAGTAACAGGAATGGAACGAGTACTAGTAATGGTAATAGTAAGAATACAAGTAATCGTGGCAGTCATAGTGATAGTCATAGTAATAGTCAAAGTCAAAGTCATAGTCATAGTCGTAGTCATAGTCATAGTCATCGCAGTAGTAGTAGCAATAGTAATTGTGACAGTAGTTGTAATAGTAATGGTGACGGTAATGGCCGTAGAAATAGTAATACAGCAATTGAAAGTACTTGTAATAGTCTTAGTAACAGCAAATTAATTTTGACAGTAATGGGAATAGTAGTAGTAATAGTAAGAGTAAGAGTCATAGTGATAGTAATGGAAATTGTAATGGAAATTGTAATGGAAATTGTAATGGAAATTGTACTAGTAGTAGTTACAGTGATAGCAATGGCAATAGCAAGAGCAACAGTCAAACAATAGGAACAATATTGGTAATACTACAAATATGACTATTTGTAATAACTCTAGTACTCACAGTGTCTGTTAGTAATAATAGTAACAGTAGTAGTAACATTAAGAGCAATACTGTTCTTTGGAATCACAATCAGAATAAAGTTTTGTTACTTGTCATACTGGAGTGTCCTGCTTTGAAATATTAATATTTCAGGATAAAAATCTTCGTAGTAACTATAGTACTGCACACGGTATTGTTGCTCAGGAGTAATGATATCAATGCTAGTCACAGTAACAGTAAGAAATATTACGAGTAAGTCACAACATAATAAGTATGTTAAAGACAGTTACTCGTAGTAGCAATAGTGGTAACTTGCATTGATACGGTTCTGAGAGCGCTTTGTGCTTATCTTGTGGGTTGGTTCTTCGCGAGCAAACCGCACTTTAGTCGGCACGACGTCGAAAGGCCAGGCCCGCAATGATGCCATCCTGTCGCCGCTGCAGGCCAGCATCGACGTTTCGGCCCAGGTAGGCTTGTTTGATGTGCTCGACGCAGATGCGGGAGGAGAGCTAAGTGTGCGTGAGCTGCTTGGCTTCAGCGGTCAGTGTGTTTAGGGCCTAGGGCCTTGGGCTACCATTTTCGCTTTCACTGCAAGAAGAAGAATTTGCAGTAGTCGTTGTTGTCGTCTCCGTAGGAGGAGTGTAGTGGCAGCAGCCAGCAGCAGGCGCAGGAGCAGCACTCGTAGCACTCAGCAGCAGTTGCAGTGGGAGTGGCTGCAGTAGGGCTGGTCATCGTCACAGTAGTAGAACAGCACAGATATTGAGGCTCAAGTCGCATTGATGATCTAGCTAGTAGTAGCAGTCATCATGGTGCCATCTGTCAGATGTTTTTCTCTCGCTGACATCTCGATGATTGGAGTGTATGGCGCAAGCAGTGTAGCGAGATCTGAGGATCAAGCCCCAAACCCCCAAGCATGCCACCTTGCATCTCCAATTCTAGGCCTAGACATTCTTGCATCGTCGTCATCATCATCATCATCATCAGCATCCCTGTTCCCGGCTTCTCATGCACAGTTATTTGCTCTCCGTTCTGCCGTGCCTGAGGCTGGTCACTGGTCTCATGAGCCTTCGCGGGCCCGTCACAAAGGGTGATGCAGCCAAGCAAAGTTTCGAGGATCTTCGGGGTGGAAGTTCGGCGTCGTCTCTCTGCGGTTATGGAGCTGCAAGGTTTGAGCGTTTTTCGGGCATGAGGAGCTTAGGGCGTTTAGGGTTTTACGAGTTTTGGCTGTAGGGTTTCGAGTTCTTGGTTGAGTTTCGGAGCCAAGGACAACTTGTTCAACATCGCTGTTTCCTTCATCCCTGTACATCCATGTGCTGCAGCTGAGGTAATTGGGATGAGTTTGAAGATTCGCTACCTGGTGAGCATGCTGCTCGGCCACAAAATCCGTAAAGACCTTCCGTTTCGACTATGCACCCCAAATGGTTCAGGGTTTGGGGGGTTAGGCCCAAGCCCTATGAGGCCTCTAGCACTCGGGATCTAGGGAGCCACCAGAAAGGCCCCCCAAAACCCCCGCAACAAGATATTTTATTGTAGAAGCTTGAATGATTTGAAATATGATTCCTTAGGGTTCCTTGTAAAGTTGTAGGAAACATGCCCTCAAACTAACTATTAAGGCCCCTATATTATCCCTTGCTGGCCCGGTGTCTCGGCGCGCAGGATGGAGGCTTCGCAGATTTCTTTTGCCATCTAGCGCGGGATGCACTCTGAAGCCTTTTCCTGAAGTGAGGCGCAGCTACGGCTAAGAGCCCAGCGCGCTTGTTTCGTGGCATGTGGCCTGCATGCACTGTACAGTGTAGAGGTGAGGCGGGCTTCCACAGTTCCGATGACCCCTCCCCGCAAAGCGGTGGGCAATGTTTTTTGTTTGAAACGAGCTTTCTGCAAGTAATACAGGGGCCTTAATAATTGCCTATACTGTGTTGGGGGTTCCTTATTCTTGTGAAAGTAGAATATACCCCAAAACCCTATTCCAATTATTAAGGCCCCTACATTAGACGACGGCCTTGCTTAGGCCCATGTCCCCCACTGCCAACCGGATCTGTCGCCGAGCCGGCTGGCCTTTCCAAGCGCAGGAGTTGATCGTGGGCTGCTTCAGTACCTTTGGGTTTAGGGTTCAGGGTTTAGGGTTTAGGGTGTAGGGTTTAGGGTCTAGAGTCAGCTTTAAGGTTTAGGATTTAGTAAAGGAGTGTCTCTGCATAGAGCCCTACCTAACACCACATCTGCAGAGTCCTCTCCGTCTCCCCTGCGCCCTAAACCCTCGACCCAAAAACCCAAATCTGCCTCTGCTTCGATGAACTCCGACGCGTTGCCAGCTGACAGGTGTCTCTCTGAACCGAGGCAGCGCGCAGGAAAAATGAGCCTTGGCCCAGTGCTGCGTCGATGTGTCAGTATACAAGATAATATGGTATAATGTAACATAATATAATGTTGTTTTTAGTCATGTGATATTCTTATAATACGGTGCAGGGTAATGTAATAATATTATACAACATACTAAAATACAATTTGCTATATTATTTTCGTATCTATTATAATATAGTCTAATATAATTTAATACCATCCAAAATAGTCCAATATAACCTAAGATAATTTAATAGAATATAACATAGCCAAAAATAGTTTTAACATGATGTAGTGTAAAAATATGATAGAATTCAATCCAATACAAAACCATGCAATATAATACAGCATAATGCAGAATTCAGTATAATCTAGTATCATGTAATATAATGCAATATGATATTATGTAACATAACATGTCATGAAAGAATCGGAAGCAGGGCGAGGATAAGTTTGCTGAGGTCCCTAAACCATGATTCGAAAACCCAAATCCCAAAATCAAAAGGCTGCAAGGGAGCCAGGGTTCCGAAAACTGACAAGAAGATTGTTGATGCGATGGCTTCTGGTGGTGCAGAAGTCTTACCGACGACGACGATCACTAACACTGCCACTTCCGCTACGTCTACTGCTGCTGCTGCTGCTACGGGTGCCGAATGCAAACGAGTTACTGGCCGTGACGAACTGGTGTTGAAACTCTGCCATGGAAGGAGCGGGGCTTGAAGAGGCTTCTTCGCATGTAGAAACTCCCGCCACTGATGCTGCCGCAGAGACGTTGTAGGACGGCTCTCGAGTATGAGGGTCGGATAGAAAGAAAGAAAGATGGATAATATATATATATATGTATATGTATGTGTATATGTGTTTGTATATGTATATGTATATGAATCTGTATATTCATATATAGATTTTTCATGCAAGTATGTGTTCACATATATGCACACACAAAAAAACAAACACACACACACAAACACCCGCGCACACACACACACACTTTATACCAAGGCCCCTAAGGTTTTAGAAACGAACCCAGAGTCTCGGGATGCGAGCCGCATCCCACAGGTCCAGCAACAAAGCCAGGGACTAAACGACATTAAACCCGGCTTAGGGTTTAGGGTTTAGGATCCTGTACGAAGCTTACAACACATGCAGACGGGTTTGTGCAGAGAGCAGAGCTGTGCTAGGAAACACTTTGGGCATTCTGGGATGTCCAAGCTTGATCTAGGCCGCGTTCACCACCACTGGGGTTTGCGGTTGAAGGTTCAGGGACCCTAAACCCTACACCCTAAACCGCCTAAACCCTAAACAAGCTCCACATCCTAAGCCGCAAGACTCATATCCCGAAGCTGTGAAGCTGCTCAGAGGCCCTCTTATCACGAGGCTACTGCTACCTAGCCTCTGGCGCAGAGGACGTGTTGAAGTTTCAGCGGTTCGGGGCATGGTAGCTTCCAGTGCCTTCCCCAGGTTTCTCTGCCTTCCTAAACCCTAAACCCCTAAACCCGCCATTATTTACCATTATGAACCAGTAATAACATTTAAAACTGCAACCAGTAATAAACATTATGAAGCATCACTACACCTAAACCCAACCAGAGGATCAGAGGACCTCAGCCTTCAGCCCGTAACCCCTAACAGCCCTTGAAGTCTTCATTCCGAGCCTTCCAGCCGCTACTCGTCATTGAGACCTGAAGTGTGCAGGTCATCGTGTGTTTCCCCTGTTTTGCAGTTTAGGGTTTAGGGTTTAAGGTTTAGAGTTTAGGGTTTAGGGTAGTCTCCTGCCCCCAAAATCAACAGACAGCCCACAGCCTCCGGAAAGTGCTTCATCATGACCTCAAGCTGCAGCTTCCTTCTTCGTCCTTTCCCCCTGTTCTCATTTTCAAGCTTGGCACACAACAAGCCTGAACGTCCACGCCCAACACCCAAACCCTAAACCCAAAGGCCTGGAAAACCGACGCCCGCACCCGTACACCCTAAACCCTAAACCCCAAACCCCAAACCCCAAACCCTAAACCCCTAAACCCTAAACTCTAAACCCCAAACCCTAAACCCTAAACCCTAAACCCTAAACCCTAACCTAGAAAAGACAGTTGAACACTGTAGGAGCGGGCGCAGCGTGACTTTGCGGAAGTCATCCACAAGGAGCCAGATCGAGACCTGGGTTTGAGGGCTTTGTGGGTTCGGTTTGGGAGCGTGGCATTGAGGGTTTCGGGTTTGGGAGTTTGGGAGTTTAGGAGTCCAGGGATTTGGGGTTTAGGATTGTAGGGGTTTGTAGGTTTAGGGTTTAAAGGGATGCGAAGGCCCCAAACGGCCAGACAGACCCAGCAACCCCAAGACTTCAGTTTCTCAAAGCCTCAGCCAAGGACTTGACGCCACGAAAAATCTGAAACTCCAGAGCCCTGAAACCCCGGAGCCCTGAGACTGAAACCTATGGGCAGGGTTGGGTTCCGGCTTGTTCAGTTAGGGAGCTCTTGTCGGATCAGAGTGGACGAAACAGCGGTATCAATAAATGAGTGCCGGCCTGCCTGCCTGCCTGCCTGCCTGCCCGCCTGTTGGTCTGCCTGGCTTCCTGTGTGTCTGTCTGTCTGTCCGTCCGTCCGTTTGTCTGCTGTCTCTCTGTCTCTCTGCCTCTCTGCCTCTCGCTCTCGTTCTCGTTCTTGCGCTCTCGCGGTCTCGCGCTCTCGCTCTCGCTCTCTCGCTCCCTCACTCTCTCTCTGACTCTGTCTCGGTCTCTGTCTTTGTCTCTGTCTCTGTGTCTGTCTCTACCTACCTACCTACCTACCTACCGACCGACCGACCACCCTGCCTCCCTGCCTGCCTGCCTGCCTACCTCCCTACCTACCTACCTACCTACCCACCCACCCACCCACCTACCTACCTACCTACCCTAACCTAACCTAACCTAACCTAACCTAACCTAACCTAACCTAACCTAACCTAACCTAACCTAACCTAACCTACCTACCTACCTCCCCTGCCTGCCTGCCTGCCTGCCTACCTACCTACCTACCTACCTACCGACCTACCTACCTACCTACCTACCTACCTACCTACCTGACCTACCTATTGGCCATCCAGCCATCCAGCCGTCCAACCACACACCTATCCACCCATCTGCCCATCCGCCCATCCGTCCACCCATCCACTCATCAGCCATGCATCCATCCATCTGTCCATCTGTGCATGCATGCGTGCATACATTGCGCATACTGTGTTCTTGAATACCTACGTACCTGCCTGCCTTCCTTCCTGCATGCATGCATACATACATCCCGCGTAGCTCTTGCCAGGACGCAGGATACAACCGGAATGCCTATGTCCGGAACCCGGCAAATCCCGGTAGTGGAAAGCTCAGATTCTGGATTTACATCAAGAAACTTGAGTTTTGTTACCCTAGTAGGGATCAACAGCAAATACTATGATTTTTCACCATGGTAGAATTGCATTGATTCCCAAAACAATTTCTTCATTGGTGGTTGCCCAGTTTTTTTGCGTTGAACTCTGGCTGTTGGTGTTTCCCCTCATTCCGTTGCTGTTGTGTTGACGATCAACTTGCTTGCTCTTGCAAGCTGCAAGCTCGCAGTGCAGAAGATGCCCACCTACTTACTTAGAACGGCAAGTAGAAGCCAACAGGCAGACGGCGCGAAATATGTACAGACTTTGCAACAGGAAGATGTCTGAGCTGCGCGGAAACAGGCGCCGCAGAATCATTCACGCTAGAGGTTGGGGAAGATGGTGCCGTGTCTTTGCTCGGCTTGCAGCTAGCATTCCTTGCCGAGGATGGCCACTATCACCATGGTAAAGATGATTTCCAGTACCATCGTTGCCAGTTTAGGGTTTAGGGTTTAGGGTTTAAGGTTTGCTACTTGTGGTATTTGTGCTGTAGCAACTAATCAAGGAGAATGCGTGATCACCCTTCGAGTCCCAGGCCTTAGAAACCCCTAAAAGCCCCGAAGCCCCCGAAAGTCTAAACTCGATTTCTGCCAGCTTTAAACTCGGAGTCCTAAGTCCTAAAACCCAGCAATCAGCTGACTAAGGTCCTCATGTCCTTGTCCCTAAAGAGACTGGGGGACCTTGGTGGCGCCATCCGCTACCTGAACCGCTGCCTGAGCGAGGGACCTGGGATGCCACCTGCGTTTTCACATTTTACGTACATCCTCAGTCTTCATCCGCTGCGAAGAACGTAACCCGACCCACTGCAAGCTTCCTTACCGTCATCGGGTGTGGGGTTCATCCAGAGCACGAAGCGAACCTGCAACAGCAAAAGCCCCTGACAGAAGAGCTTGTCTCTCACGGCGAGCATGAAGAGAGTGCTACAAAGGGGGTACCGTGAGGCCCACGGATCTTTCTGAACCTTCTGCGCCTGGGCACACCACATTGCCAAGCCAAAAAAATCCCAACCCCACTTGGAGTGCTACCTGAACCCCGACCCTTCCACCGAAGAAAAATGCCACACCCTGAGCTGCCCCAAATTCTAAACCCTAGACCCTACACCTACACCTTAAAACCTAAACCCTACACCCTAAACCCTAAAACTTGAACCCTAAAGCAGAAATTCGAAACTCGGAAATCTCCAGCCCAAGCCCTGAAACCCAACCTGGAGACCTGAACCTCCCCTACAAAAGAGGCCTGAAGCGTTGCCAGGACTATTCTGTCGGTGAGGGTTTCGGGTTTCGGCTTTCGGGTATAAGACTAGAGAGAAAAAACACCAAAACCCAGCTCCTTTCTGAAATGTTTTTTTTTTTTGTTTGTTTGCTTGTTTTTTTTTAAAAGTAAAAAACACCTTCCGAGGCATCTTTCCAGGCTTCAGGCCAGCTCTTCTGGCCCGCGGGGAGCTGTCCCTGAAGGCACCGGGAAAAAACGGGGAGGGAGGGGGGGGGAGCTTTTCGGGTGTAGGGGTTTTATATATGGGGGGAGGGGTCTGTCGATTTCAACAGCTTTTCGTCAGGGTTTCAGTGGGTTTCAAAGCGTTTTTTTAGATCTCATAGGGTTTTCCTACGGGTTGTTGTGGGTTTTGGGTTTTGTTGGAGTTGGTCATGGGGTTGTACAGAGGTTCCGTATCGGCCTTGGGTCGTTAGGTTCTTGGGGGTCTTAGGGTCGTCAGCCTTCTGCATTTCACAGAGGGCTTGGGCGTCCGGGTTCGGTTTTTGATGTTCGCAAGGCCTAATACAGCGGCATCACTGCTGGGCAGTATCATTGTTGGAACGGCAGAATCCTCGTGTATGTATCGTCCAAGCCGGAAATTCTCGGTGCAAGTGCTTTGGAACCTTTGCAGAGAGTCGTGCCTTCCTTGATGTCGTGTTGGGAAGTGGGGGTCTGCCGAAACGACGGGAGTACACATTTTTGTTTGAATTTAGGGGTCCCTTACTTTCGGGGTCCTTCTATTGAGGACCCTATGATTTCCGATCTTTGTTATTTTCTGGTACTTTCATGCAATCACAGTAAAGACGAGGATTGCTACATCACTAAAACGGTTCGGACATATCAATTGTCGCAACGCTTTAATCAAACAACTGTTGACTTGTAAACGGCAGTAACAAGAGTGATGCTGCCAACACTACTAGCAGTTACCCGCAACATCACAAATCCACAAGCAGAGCATGCAGAACCACAGCAGCACCCTAAACCCGAGACCCAAATACACAAAACCTGGTCATACTCATAGCAGACCGACAAGGGAGTCAACACAATGACTGCCCCAAGCTCCATGCACAACGGAAGGGAAGGATCCAAGATCCGAAGCGCCTGGGCGCAGGTACAGGATTTCGAGCGTGCCCGCGCGGACTTCCGGCAGGTGTTGCAGGAAGAGCTGGGGCACCCAGCCTGCTGCTACGGGTGCTGTTCTTATTACTAATGCTCTGGCTTCTGTCGCAACAGCAACAACAACCAGCGCGACGACGACGACGACGACAATTCGGAGAAGATCGTGGATGCTAGAGCCGTTCTTGAGAACTACTCAAGGCTACATACGCTTTCTCTGAATCATTCCAGGGTGATTGTGGGGACGCGCCTAGAGGTTTAGGGTTTACCCTAGACCCTAAAACGTTTAGAGTACCCAGCCCTGCATTAGGGCTGAAGCCTACGAGCCTCTAAGGGTACGGATTGGGGCCACCCAAGTCCCTCTGAGCCGTCAAGAGCTTGAAAGCAACCGGGGTTGAAGGGGTTCAAGCCGGGAGCCGGAAGAGGCATGACGTGTTGCTTTGCTGGTAATATAGGGGCCTTCATAATTAGAATAGGGTTTGGGGTAAACTATACCATAATTATAATAAGGACCCCCCCCCAAAAAAAAACCCTATTCCAATTATTAAGGCCCCTACATTACGCGTGTTTTTTGCTGTGACCATTCCATAGTAGGTATCGAAAAACGCATTACAGGGCTTCCCGAAGCCACGAGCTAGAGGGCGTGCTGCAGCCACTTGGGGCGTACGCATCGGGGGGTGTGTGGCAGGATGTGTGGAGCTCGTTTCCTTGAAAGCTGCTTTGGCAGACATCTCCCCACCCGAGACCACCAGAACGGATAGACAAGAGAAGCCAAAGCCCTTTGAAGCGTTGTAAAGGTCATAATGACAATGGATCGCGGCAATAACACCAACAACGAAAGTGCTGGACACCTGAGAGTCGCAAAGCAGCTCGGTACAGGCCATTGTTGAGTGGTGACCAGACCAGTGTATCGGTGCCCGAGGATGCTTCGGTCGATGTGCTGCGACCGAAATCGCAGCAACAGCTGAATGCGAGCCTTGGACATCTGATCACTGCTTCAGGCTCTTTGCTTGCAGGGTCTGCTACCCTGAAGCAGGCAGGCGTTACAGATGGTCAGACGGTCACAGCCGTCGTGCGAGATGCTGCTGTAGCAGCGACTGAGCGGGCTTTTGCGTTGATCAGGGGAGACGGCTCCGTCGTAGCGTGGGGGGATTCCCAGGAGGGTGGCGACTGCAGCAGAGTTCAAGAGCAGCTGCAGAATGTGAAATGCATCAAAGCCTCAGCCACGGCGTTCGCCGCGCTTCGCGGAGATGGTTCTGTTGTGACATGGGGTCTGAAATCATTCGGAGGACAGACCTACCCAGTCCACACCCAGCTACACGATGTCGCAGAGATCCAGGCCACGGAAGGAGCTTTTGCTGCCCTCCGCACAGATGGCACTGTTGCAACCTGGGCGGAGGCACATGCAGGTGGTGTGGTGCCCGACATCGTCCAGTCTCAGCTCCTCAAGAAGACACAGGCGAACCGAGACGCCTTTGCAGCACACCTCGGTGACGGAACCTAGGATGACTAGAATGGGCACAAGTTCTGTTGGTTCATAGACAGACAGAGCAGAGGCAGAGACGGAGACAGAGACCGGCGACACGACCGGACACGAACACAGGCGTAGTGCGGATGCATAGTTCTCTTCGATCTCTGCTTTCTTTATCTGCTTGCCCATGAAGACAGTAGCTGCGCATAGTAGACTCAGGAAGCGTGGTGACCTGGGGTGAATATGCCGACACTTGGCAGCTCAATCCTTGAGTGTTGACATGTGTTGACTTTTGATGTTGTAACCGCCGTTTATTATTAAAGAAAGTAAAAGTAAGTTTGAGCGATGGAATTGTCAACTAAGGAATTCGAGCCTCCGCCTCCGAGTTTTCTTCAGGATGCCCTCTGCATTCAGGGCTTTAACGACGGGTTCCTTGCCATGAGGAGCGACAGCGTGGTGGCCTGGGGCTGGGGCTCGGTTCCGCGAACCTCTACGCATACCGATGGCGACTTCCGACACTGCGCCGGGCAAATGTCAGCGAATGCGTGGGCTACTGTGAGCCGAGAGGGACGCCTGCATGTGGAATTGGCAGGCAGAGCAGAGGAGTTGCACGAGGTAGAACACGTTCAACGTTGTCCTGCCGACCTTTTTGCAGCTCTCCGAAAAGACGGGACAGTGGTGACCTTCGGTGACAAGCGCCTCCAACCGGAGCCTTCCGTCCAGAATCAGTTGAGGAATGTAGTGCAGATTCAAGGCACCACCAACGCCTTCGCTGCAATCTGCGGTGATGGGTCGGTCGTGACTTGGGGTCATGGACGCAATGGAGGGAGCAGTAAGCATGTTCAGCACCTTCTTAGCAACGTCAAGGCAATACAGGCCTCAAACGGGGCATTTGCTGCTATTCGAGATGACGGATCGGTTGTCACATGGGGTGATAAGTCGATGGGAGGTGACTCCAGCGCTGTGCAAGCCCAGCTCAAGAATGTCAGCTGTATTCAATCTACTCGGCGTGCTTTTGCTGCTATCCGCGCTGACGGATCGGTTGTGACATGGGGACATCCGAAAGCCGGTGGGGACAGCCAACGCATCTCCACACAGCTGGGGAGATCTTCAAAAGAAGACAAACTCTCGCGGGCTTTGGCAGCTCGAGTCCAAGCGGCAAAGTCCAAAGCTAAGCCGAAGGCCGGAGCCGGGCCGAAAGCGAAAGCAAAGCCCAAAACAAAAGCCAAGGCGAAGCACAAGGCAAATGCCACGGCCAAAGTCAAGGCGAGGTGCCTCAAGAATCCGAGTCGACGATGAGCAAGTTGAGCAGCAACAGAAATTTGGTGTTGAAGGTGTAACCTCAGGGTGTTAATTTAGCTCATAGTCTCCCCTCAGAGTAGACCCCAACATCCACAAACAAAGCGCCGGAATGCTGAATCGTCACACCCAGCCGTCTCCGAAACGCATGTGGCCGTAGCTCGCCCAAAATTAACGGAGCATAAAGTGATGACGATGATGATGATGATGGTGATGGTGATGGTGATGGTGATGGCGGTGATGATGATGCCACGCTCCTGCTGCTGATGATGGTGATGTTGTGGATGATGATGTGTTACCCTCCTTGGAATGCTGTGGCGCCTTACAGGGGTCCCAGTAGAGATGAAGGCCCTTGCAAAGCGCGGTTTTGTATGGATCCACGTTACTGTCAAGGATGACATGCAAGTAGATCCACTCTTCGCAGTCTTGTGTTGCCGAGGTTGTTACACATCTCCATTTGAGGCAGAGTCTGTGACCCCAAACCCAAAACTCCCTAAACTGCGTGTTCCCCAATGTTTCGAGCTCAATGCAGCTATGTTTCCAGTCTGCCGGGTTCTCACCTCCCTGCAAACCTAAGCTCGTCAATCCCTAAACCCAGGCTCGGTTTTTGCTTGTTGATTGTCCCTGTTCAGCGTATGCCTGTTTCGCAACATCGTCCTCGAACTACTCTGGTTGAGGGTTTAGATGTTAGGGTTTAGGGAAACCAGAAAGGATCTGGATGTAAGCAAGCAGGGTTAATAAACTTAATGTCAGCAAGCAGGCATAGGGTTTGTGCTTTAGGGCCTTTGTTCAGGAGCTTGTTGTAAGCAAGCAGGTTTATGGTTTATGATGTAGGGTTCTTGTAACGGAGCTTGATGTTAGCCAGCAGGTATAGGGTTTAGGGTTGAGAGTTCAGGGATGCAACAACAAGGAAAAGATAGGCAAATAGATAGATAGGTAGATAGAACTATCGGTTGATAGATGATAGATGGTGATACGAATTCAGGGCCTAGGGTCCAGTGTCCTGTCTCCAAAGCTGCACACCTCGGCCACTGAATGG